TTTTTTTTTTTATCTCCTAAGTTTTATCTCGCAGCGCACACACTTTAGACAATTGGGCTTCTTCATTCCTTTCCCGATCCTGTGGTCCATTTGTACAAAAAGGAATAGTGGCGAAGTATATGGATATTACTTTTATGTGCTCTCACATTGTTTTGCAGGTTGGTCGAAATTTCTCTTTCCTCACATCACTGGGCAGACTCACACCTAGAGACTGGAGAGGCTGGACCCGCCACACCGTTTAGTACCATCTCTATTGCAATCTGTCCAGCACCCACGCTTGAAAGCCATTGTTTATCTAAGGCCCGACCCCTCATTGGGTTAAGCTAAACACTGACGGATCATTCGATCGACTTACTGGAGCCGCCGGAGGGGGACTTTATTAGGAATCACAACAGAGCTCTCATTTCTTCTTTCCACACCCCTCTTCAGGCCTCCTGGAGCTACGATGCAGAGGTTCAGACACTTCAAATCGGTCTTCAGATTACAACCTCTATCTCTTCTCACATCTGGGTAGAACTGGATGCTGCCATTATGGCCACCCTCTTGACCTCAAGCCACCAGGACCTATAATTCAGTATCCGCTCATGCGCATCAGATCCATACTTCAGTCGGTCAGCTAACGAAGGAGAACCGACCCACTGATTATCTGACCATCCTAGATGCCTCCACCCATAGAGACGCATTTTCCACATTTATGACGCCACTCTCCGCCTTCGTACTCTTGTGGACCAGACGAGCTATACATCGTTTAGATTCTACTAGTCGTCCTGTATTTTGTACGCCTACTCACTTTTTTAATTAGACTGTTGGCTTGGGCATGCACTTGTTAGCCCAGACTTCGATTCTCCTTTTGGGTGTTTTGTTCTTTTCTTATTCTCGTTTTCGTTTTTGGTTTATGCTTAGACTTGTGTAAACATGTGATTTGTATACCCATTTAGGGTCTTCACTATATACAGGTTGGGCCCTGGCCTTAATTGCCCTCTGCCCTGGGTGTTTCTCCAAAGAAAAAAAGGACTATTACACCAGGCCATTCCGCGCACCGCTACTTCTATAGACACACCAAACAAACAGTTTATCGGTAGGAGATACTAATACTCTCCAAAGTATCTATGTGTTCATTACGAATAACAATTATCCATAGTAGTGAGACATACTATATTCTCTAAGAATATGATGCATGCCACATGCCAATCTACCGTGCATCATTATTATCCCTTTTTTAATGTTCATCGATTGAGGCAATTCATGAGTTATACATTATCAATTAAAATCTCACCCTGTTAATGACAGTATTAACTCGAGTGAGTAAATAAAACTATAAATAACTATTAATTGATTGCAAAACTATAATTATAATTAAATATAATATTAATGTGATCATGTATATATGTCTTCAAAAAGATTGTCTCTAAGATACATATATACCAACAACTGGATAATAACAATTTATACTAAGAATGAGAGCGAACCTCGAGTTTTTTTTTTTTTTTCAAAAGTACTTAGACTGACGTACTGGCTTCAAACGCGTACTATCTGGGCTGGACTGCGCTGCGCATACAGAGCGAACCAAAGTCCCATTTCTCTTTACTAGATAGAGCCACAAGAACTCTAAGGGAAGAACCTCGGATAGAACATATAGAACCAAAGGAAGGAATAAAGGAAGGGAACATATAGAATAGCACTACAAGCTTTCTCATTTATCTCGGGAGGAACTATTGAATAAACGCTTTCACTCCAGGAGCGGAGCATAAAGCCCGAACTTCTCTCCCTAGGGATAGTTCTTTTTAAGTATACTTCCTACATTAGGAGTTATGAAGGTGTAGTTGGGGCACATATTGTATTTTTTGGCTTATGCTTTTTGGCAGTTATTTGGCATTGGGTTTATTGGAATCTAAAAAAATTTTGTGATGAACGTACATGATAACCTTCTTTGGATTTGCCCAAGATCTTTGGAATTCATTTATTCCTCTCTGGGGTGGATTGCTTTGGTTTTGGTGCATTTTATGTAACAAGCCAAAAGAAGCGGCAAGGCTACTATATTAGATTTTTGAGTCCCAAGAAGGGATAAAGTTTGGGTGAATGAGGCAAAAAGGACAAAGTAAAAAACTCAAAAATGGAATCAATATAACATATTATAGGGTGAGGTGTCTTTTGTCTTTGCATGAGATGACGTGTCTTTAAGTTGTGCATGTGGCCGGTATAGTCCATGGTACGGTTTAGTGTATAACTTTGATGTAGCATGAAGAATAATTCAGTGAACCGGCCTGAGCGGTTAGCCTGGATAGGCCGGTTCAAGGAAGTTTAGAGCTAATTTATGTGATAAACGGTATTAGTTAAAGATATTCATGAAAGTTGGTGTATATCTACACAATTATTGAGGAGTATCAGAGTTCTTGTTTGTTAAAGAAACTCATTATCTTGGGGAGTAAGTCATTAAACCCCTTATAAATAATGGACCAGGTTTATTTTCTAATCCTAAGCTCTTAAGCTCTACGAAAAATACACGATCAAAATATCTGTTTTCTGACTTGAGCGTCGGAGTGTCTACGCCGGGGCCCGCCCCGGTGCTTTGCAGGTCGATCCGGTTCTTGAAGACGAAGGCGATCGAGATGTCCGAACTCTCACGCAACCGAGATGAGGCGGTTCGACCGGCAACCTCGGTGAGTCAATTATTTTGGCTCATCAAATTGGCGCCGTCTGTGGGAAGGTCCAATTTCTACCGGAGAAATGCAAATCGGCATCCCGTATTTTGTTAACACATCGAGAAGAAAAAGAGCATAAATTCGGCTAAAAATTTCACAATACACATTTTGTATTCTGCAACTTGTGCAACACCTATTCTCATATTCAACCAAATATTCCGCAAAAATTGTGTATCCCGGTGCTAAATACACATGCTCTGGAAACAACCCAGAATCGATCACCTCAAGGAGAAAATAACAAAAAATGAAGAAAAAAATCCCGTTGTGCGTTGCATAAGATGAGAAGAAAAGAATCCGCCGAGGTGAAATTGTGCGCCGCTGCCAAGTTCCGGGCACGGTAGAGTCGCCCACAGCCGACCCGCTATACCAGCCTCCCACCACCGTGACATGAAAAGCAAGGTCCAGGACAAGAGTCATCGCCACTGCCAATTCGGGGCACGGCGGAACCGCCTGTAGCAGAGCCGTTGCCGGAGCCTTCCGACACAGTGACAAGAAGAGAGGGATCGAGAAAAAGAATCGTCGTCCGCCTCAGGGTCCAATCGCAGTGCGACCCTCAGATCATCGGACGCCGTTGGTCTATGGACCACAACTAATGGTTCGCCGTAAGTCGTCGTCAGTCTGTGGACTGGAGGTTGTGCTACTTTCAGATAGTCGCGTCGCTCACGAGCAGAAATCTGGAGGCCGGTGCCGTCCACAGCCGAGGATCTTAGCCAGATTCGGTGCAGGGCGTGAAGAAGAAGATAACTTTCCCAATTTTTAATTGGGGCCAATTTGTTGGGTATGACATTGGATTTGGGTGGCAATGCCTTTTCAAGTTTATGATTTGGACCGGGAATTGTCTTTTAAGGGACAATTAATTTTCAATTGTTGGACCTGAGTGTTGGGCCGCAGGGGTAATATGTTGGGTCATAATGCAACATTGTGAGAAGAAAGGTGATGGGCTTGTGTGTGAAGATGTTGATTTCTAAAACGTTAGATGTTTCCCAAAAAAAAAAAAAAAAAGAAAAAAAGAGAGAGACAGGTCCATTGCTTTACTTGACTTGCTAGGCATAACAGAGGGAGGAGATACTGGCGGGAGTTGGAGAATAAGTATGAAAGGAAGCTACGGGGTTTTGCGAGGGAGAATGAGGCACAAACCCGTCTCAGGAAAAAAAGAATCAGAGCAGTCGTGAGGTCAAGCAATTCCTGTGCAGAAATTTTTAGAAGCGACTGATTTGAAGAGAGAAAAAATGTAACAACCACAGAATTCTACGATAAAAAAAAACAGAAGCAGCATGTTTGAGGAAAAAGAGAGGCGACCTTTTGGGAAGAAGAAAAGTGCGAGCTGCGGCGGTCGGATTGGCCATCGAAAATAACCAATCCAACAGCGGATTTCACACCGAGAGTGCTTTACCTGCGATCGTGCCGCCCATACCTAGGGTTTTGGCCGGCGGAGTTTGCGATTCTTTTGGGACTTACAACGATTATGATACCCGAGTAGCATTTTTGTGGGTACAACAAGCCTCGATGGAGGTTGATGTGATGCCCGGGCAACTGCAAAAAAGGCGAAACTCCGATACAACCGGAAGCTTTTATGCGAGCAGATTTAGAGCAAAGGACAGAGATAATTTCGGCCTCGATACACAGACAAATTGATCGATGGCACAATACTATGTAGTGGCAGCGGGTGGTCGTTGTTTTTCTGGTCCTCTTTTTCCAGAGCCGCAATCGTAAGGTAAGGGGTGCAGCCACGACTGTTAAAAATCTGAGAAGGGTCGCGAAGGTGAACGAAGAACTTATAGCTTAATGGGCCGCTCTTGGCTCAGTCCGTGATGTGGATGTTGGTTTTTGGGCCTAATATATTAGCCCATGAAAAGTAAGAGGAAAAAAGGCATTATATGCTGTTGGGCCTGGCTAGTCATATGGCCCAAGAAAAAAAGGCGGAGATTTTTTAAGAAAGAAGAAGCAGCTGCAAGGCTGCAGGTTTTTAGGGAGGTAGCAATTTTAGATTTCAGGTGATGAGGGCCCTAGACGACCTGATGGGTTATTTCGAACTCTGAGGTTTTGAAACGAGAGGTCGGGAGGATCTGACGAGTTGTGGCACGCTCCATTTTTTAGATGAGGTCGGGACGAAGATATTTTTGAAGCCCGCTTGTTTGCGTAAAGAGTCGAGGCGACCTGGTTGCTCTAGAATGGAGGTCTAAAAGGCTCCTGAAGAAGATTCACATTATTCTCTTAAGAAGGTCAGCAGTGATATTTTCAACTTCAGGTACACAAGCTAATCTTTACTATATCTCATGATCAAGCTCAGATATGATGACAAGTTTCATTGGATTATTTTTTTGTGAAGAAGTATCAATTGCCTTTATATTTTTGCAAAAATGTTTTTGAGATGCTAAGATAAGTGCAGGGTTGGCCTAGAGCCTAGATGCGTCTTCGAAAAGATCGTTGCGGCGTTGCCCGAGCTCGTGGAGCTCGAGAGAGAGTCCTCGTACTCGTAGCCTAGATGCGTGTTCCGAGAGATCGCTGCAGCGGTTTTCGAGCTCGCGGAGCTCAGAGCGCCTAGATGCGTGTTTGCAGAGATCGCTGCGAGCGCCTAGATGCGTGTTTGCAGAGATCGCTGCGGCGGTTCTGGAGCTCGTGGAGCTGAGAGCGCCTAGATGCATGTTTACAAAGATCGTTGCGACGGTTCTCGAGCTCGCGGAGCTCAAGAGTGCCTAGATGCATGTTTGCAAAAATCGCTGCGGCGGTTCTCGAGCTCGCGGAGCCTGGGAGCGCCTAGATGTGTGTTTGCAGAGATCGCTGCGGCGGTTCTCGAGCTCGCGAGCTCAGAGCGCCTAGATGCGTGTTTGCAGAAATCTTTGCGGCGGTTCTCGAGCTCGTAGAGCTCGGGAGCGAGTCCTCGTACTCGTAGCCTAGATGCGTGTTTGAAGAGATTGTTGTGGCAGAGTGAGTCCTCTGACTCATAGCCAATCGATCTGAAGGCCTCGTTGTGGTAGTGCTCGAGCTCGGCGGTGAGCGAGATAGGGCGAAAGTCTGTTGAAGATGTTGTTCGAGCTCGCGAAGCTCGACGGTAGGCAAGATAGAGCGAGATCCTGTTGAAGACGTCGCTCGAGCTCGCGGAGCTCGACAGTGGCCAAGTTTAGGGCGAAAGCCTGTTGGAGACGTCGTTCGAGCTCGTGGAGCTCGGTGGTGGTCGAGATAGGGCGAAAGCCTGTTGAAGACGTCGCTCAAGCTCGCGGAGCTCGGCGGAGTCTAATTCGAACTATTACCGAGCCTATCTTAGCCCGACATGAAGTTAAACTCGTCGCCGCATTAGGGCAGGATAGTCGTTGTGTTTATAAGCTCGGCAGTATCGTTGTGTCGACATTATCGTTGTGTTTATAAGCTCGGTAGTATCGTTGTGCTCGACATTATCATTGTGTTTATAAGCTCACCAATATCGTTGTGTTTATGAGATCAGCAGCGGGTCCTTGGACTCGTAGCCAAATTCAGGGCGAAAGTCTGTCGTGGCGTTGCTCAAGTTCTCGGAGCTCGGCAGCGGGTCCTTTGATTTGTAGCTAGATCAAGGGTAATTAGCCCATCGTAGCGGTGCCCGAGCTCGTAGAGCCGGGAGGCCGTAGATATGGGAGTCATTGTAACAACTCGAGCAAATAGTGCGAATGTCAAGCATTTTAACATGCAGAACATCGAGCGTGTTATTCGGGGGCCACAAAGGCAATGAAAGTGCAAAGTTAGCCCAAGAGCCATAGTTGCATGCAGATGGCTGCAGAACTCCGACATGGTAGGCTGTGGGGGCTAGACGAGCCCAGGACCCCCACGTTGTAGTCCTACGATATACACTTGGGCGAGACATGACTGTTCTACTCTTAGACAAGTCTCATATTAATAAGCTTGCCTAGAGTGGGGGGCTAGATGATGTAGCATGAAGAATAATTCAGTGAACCGGCCTGAGCGGTTAGCCTGGATAGGCCGGTTCAAGGAAGTTTAGAGCTAATTTATGTGATACACGGTATTAGTTAAAGATATTCATGAAAGTTGGTATATGTCTACACAATTATTGAGGAGTATCAGAGTTCATGTTTGTTAAGGAAACTCATTATCTTTGGGAGTAAGTCATTAAACCCCTTATAAATAAGGGACCAGGTTTATTTTTTAATCCTAAGTTCTTAAGCTCTACGAAAAATACACGATCAAAATATCTGTTTTCTGACTTGAGCGTCGGAGTGTCTACGCCAGGGCCCCGCCCCGGTGCTTTGCAGGTCGATCCGGTTCTTGAAGACGAAGGCGATCGAGATGTCCGAACTCTCACGCAACCGAGGTGAGGCGGTTCGACCGGCAACCTCAGTGAGTCAATTATTTTGGCTCATCAAACTTATAATCTTCATCGCATAGTTTATCGTATAATGTTTGCGCAATTTCTCAATTAACTTTGTTTATCTGTCACATATTTTATCACATAATGAGATATTACACTTGCTCAATTATTTAACTTCGTGTGTCTGTCACATATATAGTTTATCGCATAATGACATCGAACTTACTCAAAATCTTTTACAACTCCTTTATATATATAAAAAAAAAGAGAGAGATTAAAAAGGATTTAATACTCTCAATAAGCATGAGAATTCACTTGAGATATAGCGTGCAGTGCGCGAAATCTAAGGTTGGTTTGGTACAAAATGCAAGCTGCGTGACTTCCAAATTCGCATAAAAGAATTTAGTATTTTGACATATTCTTTAACATAATCTAGGCCAAACAAAAAGAAGTAATATAAAATAAATAAATAAATAATTGACCTTTGCACAAGTTACACATTGACCACAACTAATTTCTAATTGTCTAAACCTTGTTCAAACCAGTGTCAAGAGGCTGATGATGATCAATACAACTCCAGATGCAATCTATAGGTTCGAAACCATTGATTTCCAACAACCAAAATTCATCATCCAACTTCTTGTCATGTAAATTATATTCATCATGCGGTCGATAAAAATTCTCTGCGAATGTGCCGTAAGCCTCATCCACGAACGAACAAGGACCGAATAACATCTCCTCGGATTCCAAACACTCGTCGGCTATAAAGACAACGCCTTCTTTGAGCCAAGGAAAATCGAAAATGCCAATTCCCTCACAGAATTCGTGTTGCGCTTTTTCGGTATTTTCACAAGGATCGCGCGTGATGTTGACACTAATTTCTTGTTTCTTGCCCTTGCGGAACCCTTTAACGTCTTCTCCTCCATCTCTCGTCCTCTTCTTGTTCCGACTAGTCTCCCTCTCCATATATGGCTTTCTCGGTTCTGAAAGCTGCGAAAGGATTTCGAACAACGTAAAATTAACGCAAGACAAAAAGAAGGAATTCGGACTAGGATATATAAATGGCATTAGGTTTCGGGTCATTCACTTTGTATGAAATATAGATAAAGGACATGCAATATGTAGTTATTGTTGAAGGAAAATGTGAGGGGAAAAACAAAGAAGAGAAAAGTGGATCTACAAATCTGTGGATTACGTACCTTGTGTGTTTTGCTTTCCTCCTTTTAGGCTAACTTTCCATGAAGTAGTTTCCTTTTTTCGCTTGAAAAATGAGAGATATGTTTCTTTCTCTTTCAATATTTCATTTTTGGTGCATTAGCTAAGAGATGCGATGGCTAAACGAAAGCCGTTATTACAATATGCGCACAGAGAGTGCGTACGAATACACATCACGCGCCACGCCTTGCAAATCTCGGCCTTTCTTTCTGTGGTACGTTCGAATCGTACGTAGTATATTTTTGGGATTACGTTGAGTCAATCAAAAGAATACCTTTTTTTGGTTTCAATTTCTACTGCTATGCAACATAGAGCTGTTGAATGGGCGTTTTGTTTTGTTAGCGTAAGTCAAGTACCATGAAAAAACAAGTCTATTTATAACTACTTTGCATGAAGACGAGTGGATTTTGTTTTTTTTTTTTTTTTTTTTTTTT